CTTGTCTATTTTCAGTATTATATTTATAACAAAGTAAACGGTTCAACTATTTAGGTTTCTCATAAGCTACAATAACGTTAATATTACCTACTGTTATACTTATAGTGCTAGATCTTTAGGGAGAAGTTAAAGTCTTGCTCTCTTTAATATTAACTTGTAACCCTACAGTATAAGTAGCAATGACTGGTAACACTTCTGACCATCTTGACGTGGTCAGTATTCGGTCGTGATGTACCCAACCAGGAAGGGTCAAGTACTACTTAGACCTCTTCCTCCCTCCCTTGCAGTTTTGGAAGTTTACTGTCAAACGTTATATTAATATTAAGAGATTAGAGCATAAATACTTTATACACTAATCCTTCTTCCCTCTATTCAGGGCCATGGCCATGAATATTATATTATAGAATTTAGTGCTAATTTGTCACTTCTCTTCCTTTGGTCGTTATACACTCGCAAACAATTCCATTGACAAATCGTCACTTTTTTTCACTTGTCACATTATCGCACGCGTATTTAACATAAATACTCTTTTAAAGTACACTTTTAATAATTTAATCTAAGCGATATTTTTTCTTATAATACATATTGAGTGGTGAAAGATACTTAGAACTATCATCATCATGTATGATATAACGATCTATGGTGGTTAATAAATCATTCTTGTACAGATTTTTATCAAAATACTTGAGTGACTAGTCTAAGAGCCTGTCCTGGATTGGTTGTATGTTTTAGGAGCCTGTCCTGGATTGGTTGTACGTTTGCATACTTGTGCATGGATTTAGAACTTATTGTTCTATAAGATGTAGTAATTACTGAGTTTTGTATTCTTTGTAACTTGTTAATATTGAACCGTGTTACAATACTCCATGCTGGACTGGCATATTCAATTACTGAGCGAAAAAACTGTTTATAGATTTTGATGATATTTTCTGGTGATGTACCGTTATTTCTACTAGACAGTCTCCAAGCGAATTTTGCTCATTGTCCTACTTTATTTGTTACTTGGCCAATATGACTTCTCCACGTTCATTTTGAATCATATGCAAGTCCAAGAAATTCTGCTGATGGGACGGTATGTAGAAGAGTTCCACGTAGGCATAGTTCTGGTTTGTGTCCACGCGTATTTTAAGAATACTACCATATTTGTTTTTGTTACGCTTATTTTAATTCCGTGTTTTTGGTAGTATTCTACTCTTTGATCGAGAACTGTTTGTAAATTGATGGCAGATATAAAGGGGTTGTGGAACTCTTCCATATCGCCACATCATCTGCGGATTTAGATGAAACAAAAATTTTGATCCGTTACGAGCATATCGCTTACATACATGATGAAGAAGAGGATAGAGCTAAAAAGCCTCCCTGGGTAACACCTGCCGCAGGAGTTAAATACGCTGCGTAGGTGCTTTACTCTACATTATCTATAAAGTTAAATAACCAGCGAATAACACCTGTCTGTATAATTCCATTTATTTCCTGCGGTATCGTAATCCTTTACGCCATACAGTGTCGAAAGTTTTCTCCATATGCAGAAAGCAGGCGACGGTGCATTTGTCTTTGTTAAAGTTATCAACTATGGTTTCAGTTAACCGAAGTAAATGATTCGTGGTTTGCCGACATTTTCTGTAACCGTTTTCTGGAAATGTTGATGTTATTTCTAAGAATATTGAGAGTCTATTACTAATTATTCTTTGTAAAATATTTCCTATACAAGTGGTCAAGCTGATTGAACGGCAGCTTTCTGGTTTATTCGCTGGTTTTCCTTTCTTTAGAAACTTAAGAATATTCTCTTGCTTCCAAGATGCGGGATATAACCTGAGTTGAGGGATAGATTAAATAATGCCGTTAAATGCTCAAACAATTTGTGAGTGCCCTATTTTAGAAGAATGGCTTGTATACTATCTTCACCCGGTGGTTTGTTTTTACATGTTTTATAGATGTAACTACTTCTGTTTTAATGATTGTGTTTGTAGTTTTATTGACCAAATTATTGTTATTTGTTTGTTGTGGATTTTGATGGTTAGCAGAATCAAACGGGAAAATTTGTGTATAACTGTGTTTGTTTTGCTCATTATACTGGTTTACTGTGTTAAGATGGTGGTGTTCATATCAAGTTTGTTTTGTGTCTTGAATGTTTTCCTTAATTGTTCTTAAAAGCAGCTGCTTTTTTGTTTGTTTGTATATGTTATTTTGTTTTGATGATAAAGTGTCGGATAGGTTTTATAAGTTTTACGATTTTTTATAAACCTTTTTAAATGTGTCCAGAATTGTTTTGAGTCTGTATATTGGGGCCCGTCATGGCCAGGTGGTTAGGGCGCTCGACTCGAGATCTGAGGGTCGCCGGTTCAAATCCCCGTCCCGTCAAACATGCTCGCCTTTTCAGCCGTGGGGGCGTTATAATGTGACGGTCAATCCCACTATTCGTTGGTAAAAGAGAAGCCCAAGAGTTGGCGGTGGGTGGTGATAACTAGCTGCCTTCCCTCTAGTCTTACACTGCTAAATTAGGGACGGCTAGCGCAGATAGCCCTCGTGTAGCTTTGCGCGAAATTCAAAAACGAACTATTCAGATATGCATGAAACTTCACATTTTGCGTTCGCTTGTTTATAATTTCGCGCAAAGCTACACGAGGGCTATTTACACTAGCCGTCCCTAATTTAGATAAGTTAACACCAACCACCGCCAATTCTTGGGATACTCTTTTACTAAAGAAAAGTGAGACTGATCGTCGCATTATAACGCTCGCCACGACGAAAAAGGTGACTATGTAATTAAAATCCTTCAACTGAGTACCATGTCAAGAAGTCCTAATGTATAAATTAAGATCATTAAAACGAGTTAAAAGAAGACGTTTTGAAGACAGATACATTCGCACACGAAAATGTTTTGTTTCGTTGTTATGTACAAAGGCTACACAGTAACTATTTGTGCTTTGCACGCAATGAGTGTCGAAACCAATTTTTTGGAGTTATGAGTCCTCAAACTTACCGCTAAGCCTTTTGAGCATACTCTTTTATCTTTTAGAGCACAAATGAGCTATTTGAGCTGTGGCCACTAGGGGTATCGAAACCTAGATTTTATCGTTATAAGCCTGCAGAGTTACCGTTGAGCCACTGGAAGGCTGGGGGCACAGTAAAAGGAAGGTGAGGTTACTTCCAAAATGTAATTTGTAAACTGATGTAAAAATAAGGAAGTTTCACACTTTTTTTTTTCACATGCATAAATCGTCCCAACCAATGATTGAGGATGTTAAATAAGGTGTACTAAATATTATTATTTTACCCATTGCAACATCACACTACTGTTTGTTATGGATTTCGCGCAAAACTACACGAGGGCTAGCGCAGATAGCTCTCCCTAATTTAGCAGTGTAACACTAGAGGGAAGGCAGCTAGTCATCACCACCACCCACCGCCAACTCTTGGGTTACTCTCTTACGAATGAATAGTGGAATTGACCGTCACATTATAACGCCCCCACGGCTGAAAGGGAGAGCATGTTTGGTGTGATGGAGATTCGAACCCGCGGCCCGCAGATTGCGAGTCGAGCGCCCTAACCACCTGGCCATGCCAAGCCCATCACACTATTAAATGAAAATGATGAAGAAACGCCATTTAGCGTGATTTTCTGTTCCTGTTGACTCTGAAGGCTATGTTTACAATATTTATCACATCTTTTGCAGCTATGTAATTTACTCGATAAATAGATGCAGCTGTTCACATGCACGTAGCGGAGGAGGTTTAAAGGTTTAAAATCCACTTTGAAATCTCTTTCATCCATAGTTATGGATCTATTGAAACCTTTGGAGTAGGCGTTGGATTTCAATAACTCGGATTCGTTTCTGCTGAGGAGATAACATTTTTGAAACTCATCTGGTACTAACATTACTCATGCCGAAACTGTCACTCAAAATGCTTGCTGAGGTACTTTTATCGATTCCCACTTCCTGTGCTAACTTCTTGATGGTAATTCTTCTATCACATATAACCAAATAATGAACCCTATCTACAAATTCTGTAGTGGTCGATGTTGAGGTTAACCTGACCTCGGATCCTCTTCACATGATTGTCTACCGCGCTGAAACTTAGTTCAGCACTTTGTTACTGAAACACCTTCTCCTGATGTTGCTTCAATGTCCTAGTGGATTTCTTGTGGTGTCATTTTCTTTTTAACAAATATCTGAGAAACGGCACAAAGTTCGATCTTCTCCATGACGTTTAATACTGCTCACAAAATAAGCTCGTTAAGTTAGATGACACGTATTGTTTACCCATAAAAAGATTCAAGCTTAATAGTTATCAGTTGTTTTTTTTTTTAGGCCAGGCCACGAACTTTTCGGATAGCCCCACTATATTTCAATTACTGTAAAGTGACTTTGTAAATGGATGATAGGATTTCCAACATATCAGCTGTGTTTCATATAGGATAAGGTATAATAAATGATCTAATGAATGTATATTCAAAAACTAGTCGACAGATGCCGCTAAAGAGAGTGGTAAAATTTTTGTATTTAAGCCAATTAAAAGGCCTATAAAGAGATTAAGTCGATCAGTTTACTATTACATTAGTGATAATGAGTTAAAAACGTGCCGGTTAAGATTTAATTTGATAGCCGTCTAAACTAAGATTAGAAGTAGAAAATTTTATTTAAGATGTCATTTTTAATTTATTTAAATTTAGAGTAATCGAACGTAAATATATCTGTAGCATGGATCAGTTTTATTTGGTTTAACTTGAATACAACTGCAGCTGTATGACAGTATTTGTTGCTTTTCGTGAATACAGTCGAAACGTTTTAACTTTTAAAGTATAATCACCTGTTCTAGTATGAGCGTGATATAATTTACTCAATATCCTTTCGAATGTACGAAATTTATACGAAACACTTTTGGACTTCGTTTCCGTTTCATCGTGAGGGGTGAGCAGCTTGGTGAGGAAAAAACAGTTTAAACTTTGTTTTTAGCTCCCTAGTTTGTGCTCTGATGAAGCAGTGAGTACAGGAGACGTATTATCAGCACCTTGACTCGTGTCTCAGATGAAGTAGTGAGTACAGGAGACGTATTATCAGCACCTTGACTCGTGTCTCAGATGAAGTAGTGAGTACAGGAGACGTATTATCAGCACTTTGACTCGTGTCTCAGATGAAGCAGTGAGTACAGGAGACGTATTATCAGCACCTTGACTCGTGTCTCAGATGAAGAAGTGAGTATAGGAAACTCGTGTTATCAGCACCTTGACTCTTGGGACGAAATTAAAAAGGTATGTATTCTTTACATTGAGTAGTAATTTTATACTTGTGTAAAGTTTTATTTGTACATTATTAGTTGTTAAGTTTTATGCTACAAAACGCAATAGCGTTAATAAAGCATTTGGTTGATTACGAAAATAAACTTTTCATAACCTAATTTCAATAAGAAAAAGCCTTTATGCACTTCAAGTACAACAAATGACTAAAATTAAGAGGCCCGTAGCACAGGAAACCATAACCTTGATAGACACGTGTCCGAGGTACCATTTCCGCCATCTGTCGGTTAATCCTTAGATGGTGTAGTCGTGGGTAATAAACTTAACTTTGAGAGAGAAAACTGTTATTTTACTACTTGTATACATGAGGCTGCGTGTTTTAATAAAACAAAACTCCATTTCTTCTTTCTTTTCTTTTTTATTAAACGTTCGGTTTGCGATGTGGAAAATAGGCTTCGTCTGTTGGATATCAGGGTGTGGTGTTTTAATTGTATTCACAATTTTGGTGTATGGTGAAAGTAGACAGTTTCATTAGCGATTTTACAGAAACGTGAATTGCTAATTTTTCCAAGCAGTAAGTCAAGGAGTAATAATATTATTTACATTTATTTCGGTAAGAAAGATCAATAATTAGAATAAATGTCTAACTAAGCACCCCCACCCACCCCACTTCGCAACTCCTTCGTACACCACCGTATAATGTCTGCAATAATACAAGGGGCATAGTGCATAGCTAATTTGGGGGGGGGGGGATATTACTAAAACTTTGTTTGCTGTTATACTGTGGCCTTAAGATGTTGTATTGCGTTATTTCAACCTGGTTTGTTTGTCAATTTGTACAGGGAAACATGACCCCCGGACCCACCTAGTAGGTTCAAATGGAATCTCAATCCTAGAATTATGACATGTTTTTCTAAATTATTTATACATGAAATTACACAAGAGTTGCATGAACAAACTTAATTACAATTATAACGAATTTTGCTATTAACCTCTACTAATTAGTGCTGGGGTCGTCTGTATATGTACGTAGGTAGAGAATGAATTATTTCTCAGTTTTGTTTGGTGTTATAATTTACGATGTGTTTTAGCAGGCAGAAACTTAAATTTTGCTCAACACTAGATGTGCTCCCGCAGAGTCTTCGTGAAAATGTTTGTTTCAAGGGTAAATAAAATAAATAAATAAATAAATATATATATATATATATATATATATATATTGATTGATTTTATTGATTTCTTGGAGTTCATATGTCATGCCCTGTTGTAGCCTACAGAGTGCATAACTTTGCGCGTGATTCATGACATGTGCACGTTTTACTGACGTCACAACAGTATAAATTGCAAAATTAAACGTCTCTTATGCGACATCATTTTAGTGTCGAAGAACTGACAGACAACACACTACTGTACAATGATGTGAGTGGTTAAAACAGGTGAAACCTCTAGGTGGCTTTCGGCCCCTTTTCGGGGAAATGATGAAATATTTCTACCCTGCTTGTAGTGAACGGTATAAGAATTTTTCTCTAAATTCAGGTTAAAATCATTATTTTTTTATTCGACACGATTCAAATCGATTATTAAAGGATAATATGCTATACACCTACAATAGCGACATTTTAATAAGACTCTTCATACAAAATAATTTTAAAATGCAAATTTTCTGCATGATAATTCATGTACATGTACACCACGGACGTTAATAGTTAACTCGTTTTCGAAGGTTATAGCTTAACTTTCAGATTGTTTTTTGCATTGCGAGAACTCCGGAAATATCGATATAAATTAAAGATCTATCTCCTTTGACTATGTAGCTAACTTTTTAAAACAGTCTGGTCAGTACTGGGCAAAAATAAATCGATAGTATCGACGAATCGGATAGATACGAAGTGGTTTGCATCGTTAAAGGTTACCTTATTTTGGGAGAGGTGTGTGTGTGTGTAATAATTAGATGAAGAGGTTTTTTTTTATTATTAATAACTCAAATGATTAATATTGAGTATTTCTATGATATCAGGTGCATGACAGGTAGACAGGGGATGTTAGGAATAGGATTACTCTTGTTTACCAAGCTCACGTGTAAATAACGGAAGCAAATGGTATTTCTTAGGTTCATTAACTTACATTTCGAGTAGCAGCTAAAAAATAACAGTAGAAATAGCCAGGATATGTATCGCAGGGTTAGAATTTAAAATGTGTCTTAATTTGGTCGAAGAAACGACACTGAACGCAAAGTGAAAAACAAATTAAACCTATTTTTTATTTATTTATTAATATTATTACTTATAAAGCCAAACAACAAGTCAAACGACGAGATCACAGAACGTCGAACGGTGCTACTGTTTTAAATCACAGAGAGAGAGAGAGAGAGCTTGGAATTTATTTTTTATGTCTCTGTTCTAAATTGAGTGTGTGATATTGTACACACAAAACCAATGTGATCATCTCTCTCGAAGCGAAGGAGGTATCAACGTCACTGGGTGTCTCAAGTGAAAGTAGGGAAAATTAAACATGGCATTGTCACCACATAAACCGAATTAAACATGGCATTGTCACCACATAAACCGAATACGAGACATGGCATTGTCACCACATAAACCGAATACGAGATCCAGCAATAAATCTCAATAAACCTTGTGTGTGAGGAACGTCTAAGAACACCTAATTCATATTGACCATTAGAAGAAATAAGGTCAGTACTTCACAAGATGGGTTTCCTGTGTAAGGGCTTTAAAAGTGCGTTTATCAGAAAAACATCAAATTTCGGTAAACTACACAGCTTATCTGTCTAAGCTGGGAGAAAAAGATAATACGGTACTTTTTATTTTTAAGTACTGACGAACACATCTGATTTTTTTGTCATTAACATATAAGCTAAGATAACTGTAATGAATTAAGTGCTGATACTGAGTATTTATAACACAAGGTATTTAAAAGAAGACCAGATTGATAGTGCGAACAAGTCATAAAATACTAAGACTTACTTAGTACTTTTCGTTGTAAAAATAACAGCTGAGAAGATCAAAACAATCACTTAATGCCTAAGTTTAAACGATGTTGTGTAAGTAGGTGTGAAATTAGGTTTAGCATTCCGAACAACAGAAATTAAATATCTGGAAAGTAGGAAAAAATTTGTTTAATAGATACCCTCTGTTAGTTTGATGGTTCAGATGCAGGGTTTGATTTAGTGTCACAGCTGGAACGGCTATGAATATCATCCTTCCATCACTTGTTAACAAACAATACATATATCACTCTCTCTCACTAAGTGTTTATGCAGGTGCTTTGTACACAATATGACATTCTTATTAACTATATGACGAATGGTGGTATACATGAATTTATTCCTTTTATGCTTCACCTGGGGAGGAACAAGTCCATTTCAGTGGATGACACAGGTATTTGTTTAAACTATATATACCACCAATATTGCATTTAATTCCACAAATTAATGTTGGGTTTTCCAGTTTCCCATGTATTTTGGGCGTTGACTTGTCCCCATGGTAGAGTTCGGGATTTAACACAAAATACCCCCCCCCCACCCACCCCACACACACTTTAAGCTGTAGGTGCATTATAAGAAGGACAGTCAAACCTTTAGCGTGGGTGGTAGGGTGCTGGTAACTGGCTGCCTTCTCTCTGTTTAGTTCAAAGTTAAGGATGGAATCAGGTAGACTAGGTTGTTTTGCTATAAATACAAATAATCAAATAACCATTTATTTTACCTACAAGATAAGTTATTTCATTTTATCCTTTTTATTATTATTTTATTAGTTTTTTTTACACTAAGTATTGTGACAAGCAAAAATAAATATGCAATATATGTTGACCCCTACTGGACAGTCAGAAATTTGAGGGTCACTATTTTCCTCAGTTAATCAAACTCGAGTATAAATACGTAATGCAATCTACAAACTAGAACTATTTAGCAGGTGAGCTTGGGCCTAGCTATAATTAAACTACGACCGTGTTCTGTGTAGTTATTTACCGACATCTTATATAATAAACATTTTATATTCCAGTCGAACTGAGCCTATTTTAGCGTCTGTACTAATGTGTGTGTGTGTGTGTTTGTTAGATCTGATATGAGTTGGTCTGGACGCTTAACATTTGAAGTATTGTGGTATACAGAAGCATACTCAATACTTCTTGCCTTCTTTAGTTAGTAAGGCGAATACTTCAAGCTTACCAAAAAATTTCAAAATTTCACACAAACACTTTTCTAGTTGCGCGCATTTGTATCGTTTTAACAATCGAATATTTGCTAAATAATGTGGCCAATTTCCTTTTGTTCGAGTTATCTTTGTTCTGGGGCATTTCTTTATGATGGTACGTGTACTTTCTTGTGGGAAGGGTTATTATGAAGTAGTATACAGTTTATGTACAAGCATACAGTGATCTTTATCACTGGAGGGTCGCCCCCCAG